GAAATGTGTGTGTGTGTGTGTGTGTGTGTGTGTGTGTGTGTGTGTGTGTGTGTGTGTGTGTGTGTGTGTGGAAAAGGAGGGAATCAAACAGTGGGGGGGGGTAATCTCACGCGGGGGTGGACCTACAAGCAAAGATGGCGGAGTCTTGAGACTACGACAAGATGGCTGAGAGGTGGCCACGGGCGACGCACAATGTGGGTTGGGACAATAGATTACGTAACCTTACGTGTCTGAGATATTCACCAAAAATCAGTGAATCTAACTATGTGTGTGCGCGGGTTAGTAGAGAGAGTGAAAGAGGGAGGAGGAGAGAGAGAAAACCAAGCTCTGGCGGTGCTGGGCGCCGCAGGGAGATGTGAGAACAGCTGATCCTACCCGCAAAACTCTGCGGTCGGACTGACCAGTCACGCTTATACGGCGATAGTTACGGTTCTGAATCTCACTCACAGAGCCGATTTGAAGAAGAGAGAATAAAACCGAAACAAAATAAAAGAATCCCCAAAACAAAACAGATCTTTATCGCTGCGGTGGAATGCGAGTTTGTTTCCTTATCACCCCGAAACTCGGTCGGCGAGACGAGGGTCAGCCACCGTGGTTTTAGTCTTTACAGTAATAAAATCACAAACTCCACATCCACTAGCAATGACGGATCTAATGCAAACAGTTACAGCAGGAAATACACAATATAACGGGACTCCGTGGTCCGCGATGCTTGCGCAATAACACGTTCTAAACACGACAGTAACTTAACACAACAAGATACAGGAATAACAACGACATAAACTAATAGTCTAAATTAAACTAATGCCCAGACACCAATGATACTCTTACTTTTAGAAGCTTCTTTCGGTAGGGTCGGTTTCCAGTGGTAGGAAACACTCGGTCCTCGAGTAGTCGGAGACTCTCGGTGGCGCGCTGCTGCGGAGCTTAGCGCAGACTCAACCTCACTCGCTGCAGAGAGGAGGGTAGAACTTCGGCGGAGAGACGGGGATCGCTCGTCTGTTACTGGGAATCTTCGGCGGGGAAAGAGGGGGTCAGTCGCCCTTTTGCCGGCAATGTGTGCGCTAAGGGTGGGAGAACGGGTCGTAGAAGTTATCCGTTCTCACACTACAGGATCCAAAAAAAACAAATATATAAAAAGAAAAGCACAGTCTGTGGTTCGACCAGCGAATATAACATGTGACCTGAAAGGATTTGGTGAGGCCGCGTTTCCTCGTGAGTCTTCTTGTTACCAGGACGAATCCGGATGGAAGAGGCCGATTCCAGCTGTGCTCTGGTTTATAAACCAGGTAGTACCAGTGGGGGTCCCTTTCTTGGCCAATGAGGGGCCAGGATCAAGTTTTGGCCGGAGCTGGGAGGTGTGGCCATCCATCTTGGAGGTTCTATCAGACCCCAGATCAGGCCTTGTTTGAAAGGAAGGAAACATGGATGCTCCTTTGTTTGAAAAGCACATGTGAGGGTCTCAGCCAGCCAGGAGACCAGAGTCAGATCCCAACAGTATGCATGCTGAAGCTTCATTTGGCAAGTGAAAAAATATAACTAAACTCTCATTCTCCACATTTATTTCCTGGGATTTTTAACGTTTCCCCGAATAACTTTTGACAAAATGACAACTTTCAGAGATTTCTTTTTACCGTAATCAGCTACCAAATAAGACTGAGATATTTTGAAATCAATTTACATGCAGAACAGGTTTTACTATATGATACTATGTGTTATTTTAATTAAATTCAGGTATACTTTACATCACCTTTTAGTTGATGGTTCACCATTTATACAATGTATGCCTCCAAGTGTTGTGTGACATCAGACGGCTGCAAACAAGAAGTGAAATCACTTCACTATGTGGTTCACTGTATACTGTCAACCATTATATTTTAGTGTCCAAATGCGAGTGTGAAATGTATGCACAAATATATGCCCTCAAAATTCCCACAAACCAATGTAAAAGATGAGTGTATGGTATGCACTTTCTCTTAACAATCCCACAATGCAATGTGTCATATCGTCTGTGAAAGTTAGCATATTTCACTCTACGGCTGTCATCGATGTCATCCTAATGTAGAGTTCATGTCACGAAGACGGCAGGGGTGTCGTTAGGCCTAATTTAGGGGGGCTCTTAAGTGTCACACTAAATTAGCTGCACACTATATAGTATACTATTGAATATCTCAACGTTTCCTCACACAACTGTTCGTATGATAACTTAAGAAAACTTGCGTTTTCCCACGAAAGTCAGCAACACGCGCAAATTTCAGCTCGTTACATACGGTCTTTTCAAATTCTCACAGGAAGGAGGGATGAATGGGTATAGGGATAGGTATAGCTATGGATGGTGGATGAGACCAGCCTGAATATCTGCATATTATGTAGGCACATTTGAACTTGTCATAGTAGGAAAAGCACATGTGTTACTAATAACATTACATCCAGTAAGCCATGACAGTGGGACAGTGAGCCAGTATGAACCACAGCAGGACCCTGAAGCAGCTAAATGTAATTGGTGAGGAGGGCCCTTTGCACCCACACTAACCCACTTGCCGGCTGGATCAATGCTGGAATTACACAAGGTCATCAAACTTCACGAACCAATAAAAATGACACGGTATAATAACAAATTAGATGTCTATCAAGCACAGCCTATGCCCACTCAGTCCTTACAAAGAGTCTGATCAGGCAAATTAAGCGAAAGCACCTGTGTGGGTGGACCATGAGTGTGTAGTGCCTTGAATAAATACATACTATTATTAGGCCTGATGTTAGTAATTCATGTCTACAACTTTACCATTCAGTCCGACAGATGGAAGCATGTGACATATAGGAAGGGACATGAAGAATATCAGGCTAAAAGCAGCACTCGAGTAAGAACATGTTTTCAATTAATCATTAAAAGAGAAGTTAAAATATACAGAAAAATAAAAGCTTTTTGGCAATGAAAGCTGAGTTCCATTTAGCTGCTTTAGTTTCAGGGTCCTGCTATTTTGCGTCGTGGCTCAACGTCACACTGTCATGGCTTAGGCACTTAAATAGAATAGAGAACGGAGCTGTTGTTCATTTTATTAGTGACGCCTGTGCTTTTTCCTACTATGAGTCTGTAAATATGTCCGTCATGAAAAAGGCTTATTACATCTGTTTGTGTGATAGAGCCTAACAATCGATCGCTACGTCCGGTTGGTTTGCGAGGCCAAATTTCATCCTAATACGTTATAGCCCTGACCATAATTCCTGGTGAAGAAATGTGAAGTCTGACGGAAACAATAGAGTTCTTCTCTCATGTGCGTCTTATCGTCCCAGTTTCCCTCTTCTTTTTCTCTCCACCTTGTCTCCGTCTTTCTACCCCCTGTTGGCCCAATTAACTCTGATACGGAGCCACTCCGGGGCCGAGTGCAGGTTTTTGTGCTGAGTCTGTTTGACACTCAAAAACTCACATCACTTAAAGTCGAATGACCTTGGGTTGATGCACCAAGTGGAGTCTGTATATCTATTATTGATGGTTGAGCTGAGACGAGCTTTGTGGGTCATTCTGTCTGACTGATAACGTTGGCGCTTCTCGGTGTTTGTCTTACGAACACTGTCTTTCCGTATGTTTATATGCTTTGCTTTATCGTTAAACATACACGGTTTTTACCACAACTTATTATACATATATTCTCTTCCCTGTCTTTCCATAGGACGACTTCCTCTACAGCGTTGCTATAGTGAGCGGACTCACATGTGCTGTGCTGGCTGTGGCCAAGTACATGCTGGGAAGAGTGCTGACTAGCCGGGCACTCATCACTGATGGTATAGTGTACACACATACACACACACACACAGTTAAAATAAATGAGTAGTGCACCGGTCTAAGAGGTCTACAGAATAGCAATAGGAAATAGTATTTGACTCACTAAATGCCCAGGAAAGTGATCTTGTTCGCTCAGTCATTTCTCTAGCCTTTCAGTGTTGATGATCAGTGTATGTGTGTCTCTACCCTGCTAATGACAAATAGTTTAACGAGAACAGTTGAAAAACTGACTTTCGTGCAAATTGGGGGGGGAGATAAATACGGCCCTAAAAACAATTGAGAAAAGATTGAAGATTATGAGAAAATGTATTCCGATCCTTTGCTTGAGTAAAACTAGCAAAATCACATTGTAAATTAGTATCAACGGTAAACTTACTTCTTATGCAGCAAAATGGCCCCTGTCAGAGTTATATTATTGTATATTATTATTGGGCTATTATTACTGTTGCCTTTGCTTGTCTGAGGCATTTCAGAGTTTTAGCCAATCTAGATGGAGCTGTTTTTATTATTTTACTCGCTGTTGGGTAAAAATACTTCACTCTTTTATTCCTCATTATAGTCCATAACAGTCAAATGAATTTGCAAAAAATTTAAATAACTAATAATGAACCAATTGTAAAAGACCATGGTCATGGTTCTCTAACCCCAAACAGAAAACAAGTGTGACAACCAAAATACAAAGTATTAAAAGCAAAGTCACAAAATGTGTGTGTGTGTGTGTGTGTGTGTGTGTGTGTGTGTGTGTGTGTGTGTGTGTGTGTGTGTGTGTGTGAGAGAGAAAGTTGCTCTCACAACTGGATTGAAAGAACTAATAGGTTATGACCCTGACTGGCTGCCTATAGACACATGTGCAGGTGGATAAAAGCACAAAACACACACACACACACAAATACACGCTGCACACTGCTATCCCCAGGTCTCCGAACGTGCAGGGCATCAATCCAATAAACCTGAGGTTGCTGTTCTCAGAGACTGGATTTATTTCCCACAAGACACTTACTGCAGGCGAGACAATAACCCACTGTGCCGGCTTCCACACAAGGAGAAATGTAATTATCAAAAAACATCAGCTGCTATACAGGGTAACTGAAATACAGTAGATTTAGTCAACTATTATGTAGCATTTATAGCCATTTGTGTTTCAAAGGAACTTGATGAAGTCCCTGCACTTGGCCAAGAAATATTCAGGGGCATAACCCTCCATAAAACTACAACTTTTGTTGTTCATTTTTTACACTTCAACTTTTGTACAGTTTTAATAATTGAGATATAATATGTTAATTAGTGAGTTTTGAGGTTCTTATTGGCAAATGTTCCCCCCTCTATCCAGTCTTTGGGATATAAGCTAAGCTAGTTTATTTACTGTAGCCTACAGACACGAGAGTCACATCAATATTCTCATCCAACTCTCTGCAAGAAAGTGAATAAATGTAAACCAAAATGTCAAAATATTTCTTTAACACCAAAAGATCTCAGATAATCAGATTGCTGTTTATGTTCAAATTGAATAAATAAATGAGTGATTATCAGGATTAGTGATGCATATTTAAAGAGACAATTCACCCGAAAATAAAAAATGCATGTTTTTCATCGTACCTGTAGTGCTACCTTGTTGTGAGCAGTTTCATGTATTGTCTTTCAACCATAGTTGTTCCATGAAACTGCTCACAACAAGGTCTGGATTATCTTGAGTAACCAGTTCACGATTTCTGGAATGAGGCATTGCTGTTTAGTTTTTCAAATGTATTTTTTTGGCACTTTGAGCACCACAAGCCAATATATATTGGAGAAAAGGCATCTCAACAACTGATACCTCTAACTCCAAGCAACTCACACCAACAATCTAGACTGATGAATAGCACTAGCACTATAGCAAGAAAGAGCAAAAAAATCTGTATTTTTGAGTGAACTGTCCCTTTAAGTTTGGCCAACTGAAACTAATCCATTACTCATTCATACAATACATAAACACACCTGACATTTTTTTCAGGGTTTAACTCTCTGGTCGGTTCCATCATGGGATTTTCCATTCTGATCAGCTCCGAAGTCTTCAAGCACCATGCTGATGTCTGGTTTCTGGATGGCACAATCGGAGTTCTCATTGGACTCATCATTTTGGCATATGGCATCAAGTAAGATACAAAATCAACAGTCTACATTTCTTTGACCTATTGATTTGAAATTCCTAAATCCATATTCCATTAATGCCAGACCCACATGTAAACTCGACAGCTGTGTGTGGCTGAGTGCCAAAACAGACGGAGACACCACAGCACTCTGATTAGCGGTGGCTGCGAAGGATTGTTATATAGTAGACTTGTGTGATCCAAACATTTCCAATTACTACAATTACTATTGTTAGGTCCAAAAGTTAATGTTCGTTGACAAAAGATAGATGTAATCATTTATTTGTCATGTTTTTATCCAACAAAATATTCTTCTTCAACCAATATTTGTTGGCATTTAGCCTTTAAAAAAACCACATCTTGTCTGCGGTCAAAATCATGCTCTACTGCTTGACACATTGACACAAAGTGAGGCTGGCACTGATGAGTTAAAGATCAGCTACACATTCATTAAAAGATTAATTTATAGAAGAATATGTGGATATTGAATTTAAGCATGTTCATATACCATTCAAATTGTGCTTCGAGGAAATTATTTTCAACAAAAATAGTCTTCTCTCTCTCTCGGGGCAGGAAAGTCGATTTTATCAGAGTAGGGTGGTTTATATTATATCATATATCCTTTATACCTTTCTATTATTGAACAGACAAACCAGTGTTTTTTCTTGCCAGATTTGCTAGCGTCTCACGAAACAAAATAGATCAGACAGAAGACAAAACTACCGCCGCAGATGGCGAGCCGGCTGCGGAGCCAGGCCCGTGTGTGGGGCCAGCTGTGTCGCTCAAACAGCAAATTAAAGAGCGGGCGAGAAAGCAGGCAAATGAAAACTTTTCAATTCAGAACTGATGAGTCTCTTATGATCGGACTTCATAGAGAACACCGATCAAACTATAAAGAACAAATATCGTCCGATAACGATCGGCGGACGATCTCTTGGATCACCCTTTGTTTCTGCACACTTACACAATTTTGTTTACATTTCTGCACCTACAGACTCCTGAAGGACATGGTGCCCCGTGTGAGACAGACGAGGAACTACGAACGCTTTGAGTGAGAGTGTGTGTTGAACGCACACACCCACACACTTGGCTGCCTCCTGGGCGGAGGGCCGCCCTCTTCTCTCTGTCTTTCATATACACTTTGATGCACATCTCACCTGCACATGCAGCACATACAGAAGCTACCCATGTTCTCATACACACATATTTACACACGCTGTGCACTGTACATAGCGCAATCACACAATCGGACATAACACACATGCATGCACGTACAAACACAGATGTCGGAGAGACTTTGAGGGAAAAGGACGCGAATGAAGAGCACATCCTGGAGAGAAAACACTTGAAGTTATTTTTTTTTTCTTTTCTGCTCTTCTTCACTTTTTGTTCATGAAACCACCAGTTTAGAAATAAAAAAACTAGAATAAGGAAAAAGCCAGAGAGCTGAGTCTCCTGTCTTCATGCAGGAGCTTTGGATTTGTTCGACTAAAATGGAGATACAATAGTTATATGACACCGTTTATTCATGTCATGTTGGAAATAATGAGGAGCAAAATCATTTTTACTTAAATGAGGCGTACACAAAAAACTTAGTGGGATCCCCATGGGATTTTCGTGAGAAAACTTATAATGACCTCTTTACGGATTTCTTAGTCTCCCTATTGTCTCTTAATTAAGAATATATACTCCAAGATGAGCTGAGTGCTCCTCACAAATTTTATTTATTTTAATTTTATTCTATTTCTAGTTATTTTTAAGTACAGGCGATGCTTTCCTAAATCAGACAGAAAGTTCCTGTCAAAACTTCACCAGCCTGCTTTCTTTGAAGCGGCCGCTGTACATCCAAATTTGTCGCTGAGAGAGGAGGAGAGTGGACTTAGTCAGACAGAATACGAGCAGCACCGAGTCAGCAAACACGGCTTTGTCCAAGAGGTGAAAAGCATCAACGAAACACGGTGACATCAGACTTCATCTAGAAACCCGTCAACTAAAAGCAAACAGCAGTAAAGAGCACAGGAGACGCTAAGGACAAACATTTGCCATAGGAAGGCTATAAACCTAAAGTGCACAAGTCGTACACATTGCATAGCCCACTGCACTGTGTGTAATGTATCCAAGCATAGATTAGCCGACTTTCCTTCATCCGCCGGTGTTTGTTGCAGACAGTTTAGCACTGAGGGTTATTAATAACTAAGAATTGATTTGAGGGTATTTGGTGCATTTTGTCTTAACTGCTGTATCTGACTTGTTTCATCGCCATATATTGTGCGTATCTTTTGATTTGTTTGCACACACAAACACCTGGGTCAGTAAATTACTGAAATCCATTCAGCAGGTCTTCTAACAACTGAAGAACAGTAATGAAATCCAAGTTTTTCAGGGTAAGATGGGACAACATTTCTCAATATTTATCTTGTATTTTTTGTTGTAACACCTTGTCACTTTCAGATGATGAAAAGATGTAAAAGCACATAACTCTCCAGGAAAGTTTCTGGTACCCGAATATTTATAATTTTCTCTGTGGAATTTTGTACTGAATCCAGTTTTGATATTTATTACTTTGTTAATATTATTTTATTCTTTTTTCCCCCTCGTGTTGACTGCAAAGTTCCTGTGGAAAGTTGGATGAAAAAAGTTTAAAACCTAAGAAACAAAGCACAATGACAAAGATAAAGCAGCCAGTGGGAAAACCATTTTCATTGCATATCATTTATAGAGACGGGAAATTTTTTTTCCATCTGCTTACCTGCTAATTACTCATTCGTTCTGCATGTTACCATTGTTATCATCCATCAGTGTGTGTAACGAGACGAATGTAAATACAAACCACACAGTCTGTAAAAATGTTTATTACACTGTTCGGGTCCATTAGTAGCAAAAAGTCACAAATATAGTCGTAGTACTTTGTATGGCCGACATAACAGGCTTTTTTTGGAGTAGACAGCATATAGTTAAAGTGCAGGATGATCAATGCTGCATATGGTTGAAAAAAATGTTTACTCTATAGCGCTTATACTGTCAATGTTGTTTTACTTATTATTGTAGAATATTGGTGAAATGATAAGTCTTACTGTAAATGTTTGCACTGTAAGTGAAAATCTCAGACTGGATGTAGGTGGGATCTGACAGCTGTCCAAGGCTCCGCTATCACTTATTAGGTGTCAAAAGAAGAACTGATTGAAAAGCAAATCATTGTTTTACTTGTTGGAACTGGACAGCGACAATTTACCCGGTGGCACAAATCAGTGTTGTTTTACTGAACTTTAGTGGGTGTTACAAGCTTAGACATGAAATCAGCCAGAACATTTTTAGAGAAACACTACAGCTTTGAACAAGAATGGGGCGTGTGGATTTATTGAAATAGAGAGAAATACCTGCATTGTCATCCTCTTGGAGTAAACAATTAAATTAGATTCATAAAACTGAGTTAAATTCATGGATTGATTTTATACAAATGTATTGAAATGAAGGAAACTTAAAATAAATTTGACATAAATAATTCATAGGCAACAAAGACAAACAAATATTGAACGAGCATGCTACCCAAAAAAAATACTTTTTCACCATCTAACATGAGGTAAACTCAACAGACTGGCCTGTTTTTTTTCCTGTAAATGTGCATCCAGAGTGCCGGTGTGCCCCCTTGTGGCAGACGGCCACGTGACAAGAGATGTAGTATTCAGTGCACTGGATCCAAGGGAGAGTCTAAATTTATCCCAGGCTGCGGACAGTAACAAAGCCTTGGACAGCAATCCTGGATGTGCCTACATCCACTCTACTCTGTAATTATCAACTCTCAGTTGACATACTCGACAAGGTGCAAAATTCTTGATTGTGTTCTTTAGTTTCATTGTGTGAAGAATATATAAACCGTAGGAATCAGCTCACACTGCTATGACTCACCAACAGCATAATGATTTGTAATGTTTCCCCTTTGATGCATAGAAGACAATCTCTACAATGACGTTTACTTGCAAAGCACAGTGTTTACATGATGACAACCACCACATAAGGCACAGAACAAACTCATCGTAACTCTTAGTAACAGTATGCTTAATAGGCTCTACTGCTCATATGAACTATAATGTGTTCTGATGAACTGATTACTATTTTGATCTTGGCAACAAGTCCTTTCTACCTCTCCTCTTTGCACTTATTTTCATGCAACTTTCTCTTGTGCACATTCATGCTACATTAAATTTAGGCCCAGTGCTGTGATTGCGGCCCTGGCCCCCTTGCACACCTTAGTAATGGGTGATTTTTGAAGCTGCTGCACTCACTGTTGGGTCAGTGTAGCAGCTGAAGGAGAAAAAAAAAAAACTGTTCTGATGACATGTCCAGGGTCTCACCCGTTTTTTGTCCGATCAGCAGCAGTGAGTTTCGGTTGTATTTCATTACATCCATTATGTGAATTTTGTTTTTTTCCCACTGCCAAATGAAACGTTTGAACCCTCATACTCACTACCACTAGTGGTTTGTAAAGAAATCACCTCCGACCATGCATTTGCACAAACACGCATTTATTTGAATCATTGTTCCATTGAAATAGCTCAGAAACATGTCCAATTCTGCATCTTGATGAACTGTGCCAAACCGTCGAAAGCATCCGTCCTCTCTTCTGACATGTGTTTTTTCATTCAATTATACTCTTGTATGGATAGATAGATGCATTAGTATCGCTTAAACTGTTCATTTGACTTCATTCCACAAAATTCAGACAGCAATACTATCCACTTCTCTGTTGCTAGTCTGCTTTGCATGGGCGTGTAAAAACCCTCACAGCTTCAGTGCATTGCCCCACACACACACACACACACACACACACACACACACACGGAAAGATGTAATTGAATTTCCAATAAATCTGACTGTAACAGAATATATTATTTGTCTGTTAGTACAGTAATGACATCAGTAATAACAGATGATGTAAAAACTATTTATGTAAAGGAACTATGAGGTATCTCTTTGTCAAAAAGCAAAGTTTTATTGACGAATAAAGTTTTATCCTGCTCAATGTTGAGACATGTTTTCTTTTTTTTTTTCTTTTTTCCAACCACACAATTGTCAAGGGAAGTTGTCCTACCACTACGTAGAATGGGAACGCAGATATCCTTGTGCCATAGCAGTCAGTATGTGAATCAGTTTATCAGGAACAATCCATAAGGTGTCCAATCATATAATTTCTGTCAACCTGAACCATCAGCTCAGGTGGTTTTCTCTAAGGAAAATTAAAGTAAAAAATTAAAGAGGATGAAAAAAAATACACACTATCTTAACATGTTTCAAAAGTGTTCAAGCAACAAGAATCATTACTTTAAATGATGTAGACATCATTCATAAAGTATTCTTTGTGCACTAACGGTGCCCCTTAAAGGAATAGTTTGATATCCTGTCTTTCTTCCATGAATAATAGTCTATGGAAACTATATGGAGAAGTAAATAATTTTTCTACTACCCAGAGTTTGATGACCTCCCCCTCCCTTTTTTTTTTTTTTTTTACTTGCTTCACCCTTGTCCACCCAAGGATGTTATAACTTCCTGTTCGTCTTTGTTTATAACATTTTAACTATAGTTGTTTACAGTTTATAGTATAGTAGTCAATGAGGTTTACTACTAAATTTTCACATCTCCATTGCATTGTTTCGGTTGCTAAGCGTGGCTGGCCTTTTCCACACATGTGAAAAGGCCCCTTTACATTTCATGATGAAAAGCGTTTCTAACCTCAGCGTGTTCTCTCACCTGCCATGATTCTATTTCACATGTTTGCATCATCATCTCAGTTGCTGCGCTCTCGCTGCTCTGGAAAGATAATGTACATTAAGAACACCTCAAGCAGATGGCTGGGCATTCATGCCGTTTTCATCATGTTAACAGGCGACTGTGAAACATCCCGGGGCGTTATTATCAGACAGGCAGCGGCTGCATTTTTGTGTCCGGAGTCGCAGACTATTTCTCAACCCTATTAGTTGGCAAATTGAGTGCTTAGAAGAAGTGAGTGAGTGCCTAAAGGGTTTAATGAGGACATGACGACTAAAATATATCTTTTAATTAATGCTGCATCAGAGAAATAGTGAGGAAAGTTAGGGGGAAGTGTACTAGTGTAATTTACTTCCTTTTACTATTTTGATCACAATCTGAAACGGTATGTAGTCCAACTGGCTCTTTTGTATAACACAGTGGTGTTGCCCTATCAAGGCAACATGTGAAGTCATTACACCTTTGTGTTTGTGCGATCGTAAGGATGCCGGAGACCTCAGCCAAAGTCTTTGAGAAAGTGTGAGTGATGAGTCAGGACATTTCGGATAAAATCCACATAAATACTGTTTATTTACCTTTATGTACATAGGGTTCACAATGACCCTAATGATAAGCAGCCCACGGTCTTCAGCCACCTCGCCCAGACCAGGGAAACTGGGGCACCCTCCCGGAGCCAGACGCAGGAGGGGAGTTCGTCGGTGAGCGTCTGGTGGCCGGGCCTCCGCCCATGGGGCCCAGTCGGGCTCAACCACCCGCAGGGACAAGCATCGGGGTCGGGTGCAATGCAGACCGGGCAGCGGGTCAGGCCGGAGGCCTGGGCGATCCGATCGCCGGCAGCATAGACTAGCTCTAGGGACGTGGAATGTCACCTCGCTAGAGGGGAAAGAGCCAGAGCTGGTGCAGGAGGTGGAGCGATACCAGCTAGATATAGTTGGACTCACCTCCACACAGCACTGGCTCTGGAACCAAGCTCCTGGAGAAGGGTTGGACTTTGTCCTTTTCCGGAGTTGCCCAGGGTGAGAGGCGCCGGGCGGGAGTGGGGATACTCACGAGCCCCCGGCTGAGCACCGCTGTGTTGGAGTTCTCCCCGGAGAACGAGAGGGTCGCCTCCATGCGCCTACGGGTTGCGGGGAGCAAGGCTCTGACTGTGGTTTGTGCTTATGCACCAAACACCATTTCGGAGTATCTGGCCTTCTTGGAGTCTGTGGGAGGGGTCCTGGAAAGGGCGCCGCCTACCGACTCCATAGTTCTCCTGGGGGACTTCAACGCTCACGTGGGCAATGACTGAGAAACCTGGCGGGGGGTGATTGGGAGGAACGGCTTGCCCGATCTGAACCCGAGTGGTGTCTCGTTATTGGACTTCTGTGCTAGCCACGGGTTGGCCATAACAAACACCATGTTCAAACATAAGGTGGCTCATAAGTGTACCTGGTACCAGAACACCTTAGGCCGGAGATCAATGATCGACTTTGTAATCGTATCATTTGATTTGCGGCCGTATGTCTTGGACACTCGGGTGAAGAGAGGAGCAGAGCTGTCAACTGATCACCACCTGGTGGTGAGTTGGATCAGATCGCGGGGGAACCGGTTGGAAAGACCCGGCAAGCCCAAACGAGTAGTGAGGGTGAACTGGGAATGTCTGGCGGAGGACCCTGTCCAGGAGTCTTTAACTCCCACCTCCGGAAGAACTTCTCACACATCCCGAGGGAGGTTGGGGACATGGAATCCGAATGGACCATGTTCAAAGCCTCTATTGTGGATGCGGCCACTAGGAGCTGTGGCCGGAAGGTCATCGGTGCCTGTCGTGGCGGCAACCCGAGAACCCGGTGGTGGACACCGGAGGTGAGGGAAGCCGTCAAGCTGAAGAAGGAGACCTTCAAGGCCTGGTTGGCCCAGGTGTCTCGTGAAGCAGCTGACAGGTACCGGAAGGCCAGAAGGGCTGCAGCTGCGGTGGTCACGGATGCTAAAACTCGGGCATGGGAGGAGTTCGGGAAGGCCATGCAGAAGGACTTTCGGTTGGCCTCAAGGAGGTTCTGGCAAACCATCCGACAGCTCAGGAAGGGAAAGCAGGGCTTACCCCAGGCTGTTCTCAGCAGGGGGGGGGGGGGAAACTGCTGACCCGGACGGAGGACATCATCGGGCGGTGGAAAGAGCACTTTGAGGAACTCCTAAACCTGACCAACATGTCTGGATGAGATCCGCCCTGAGATGCTGAAGGCGCTGGACATGGTTGGGCTGCCCCGGCTGACACGCCTCTTCAATGTCACATGGGGGTCGGGATCAGTGCCCATGGACTGGCAGACCGGGGTGGTGGTTCCCATCTTCAAAAAGGGGGACTGGAGAGTGTGCTCGACTTACCGGGGTATCACACTACCCAGCCTCCCGGGGAAGGCTTATGCCAGGGTGCTGGAAAGGAGGCTCTGACCGTTTGTCGAACCTCAGATTCAAGAGCAATGCGGATTCCGTCCCGGTCGTGGAACAGTGAACCAGCTCTTTACCCTCGCAACACTACTGGAGGGGTTCTGGGAGTTTGCCCAACCAGTCTACATGTGCTTTGTGGACTTGGAGAAGGCTTTCGACCGGGTCCCTCGGGGGTTCTTGTGGGGGGTGCTGCGGGAGTATGGGGTGCCGGACCCGTTACAATGGGCGATCCGGTCTCTGTACGACTGCAGTAGGAGCTGTGTCCGCATTCTCGGCAATAAGTCAGACACGTTCCCGGTGGGTGTTGGCCTCCGCCAGGGCTGCCCTTTGTCACCGGTCCTGTTCGTGACTTTCACGGACAGGATATCTAGGCGCAGCCTGGGGGTGGAGAACGTCAAGTTCGGGGGTCTCGGGATCGCCTCTCTGTTGTTTGCAGATGATGTGGTCCTGTTAGCCTCCTCGGATCGTGACCTCCAACATTCACTGGCACCTCCAAATCTGAGGCCATGGTGCTCTGCCGGAAACCGGTGGATTGCTCCCTCCAGGTGGGGACGGAGTGCCTACCTCAAGCGAAGGAGTTCAAGTATCTCGGGGTCTTGTTCACGAGTGAGGGTAAGATGGAGCCGGGAGATCGACAGGCGGATCGGTGCGGCTGCAGCAGTAAAGCAGGCGCTGCACCGGACCGTCTTCGTGAAGAGGGAGCTGAGCCGGAAGGCAAAGCTCTCAATTTACTGGTCGGTCTACGTTCCTACCCTCACCTATGGTCACGAACTCTGGGTCAAGGACAAGGTCGCGGCTACAAGCGGCCGAAATGAGTTTCCTCCGTAGGGTGGCCGGGCTCAGCCTTAGAGATAAGGTAAGGAGCTCGGTCATCAGGAGGGAACTTGGAGTCGAGCCGCTACTCCTTCGCGTCGAAAGGAGTCAGCTGAGGTGGTTCGGGCATCTAATTAGGTTGCCTCCTGGACGCCTCCCACTGGAGGTTTTCCAGGCACGTCCAACTGGGAAGAGACCCCGGGAAGACCCAGAACACGCTGGAGGGATTATATCTCCCAGCTGGCCTGGGAACGCCTCGGGATCCCCCAGAATGAGCTGGAACATGTTGCTGGGGAGAGGGAAGTCTGGGTCAGCCTGCTTGGCCTGCTGCCACCGCGACCCGACCCCGGATAAGCGGAGGAAGATGGATGGATGGATGGATGGATGTACATAGGGTTTGGTTTTTATACGTGACTTAGATACATGCTTTGCATAATGCTATCTGTTCCTTAATGTAGTCTCTACAGGGGCAGATGCAGATCAAGGACCGGTCGGATCTCACGCAGCTGAAGAGCAAGCGGTCGGACTGGAACAGTGTTTACTGCTGCTATTGTAGGCCGGAAACACCAACTGGCTATCAGAGAGCTCCGATGTTTGACAATCTATACTGTGGCTGAAAAAAAAACAAAAAAAAAAAACACACAGACACAATCAGACAGTATAAACAAAAATAAAGGTTTATTGGTCCGTCCCACTGGCAGTTCCTTTAACTCAAAAATCACAAATCAAACAAAAAGGTCCATGAAATAAACATAAAATGTCCCAGAGGAGAAAGTGGTTTCTTCACCAAAAAAGTAATCCAACCCTGCCAAGTCCTTGGTATCGGTTCCTCCATGTAGGCGTCCTCTCTCCTACTCCGGGCCCAACTCCTCTCTCGTGGTGCTCTCCCCTCTGCCCTTTATTCAGTTTCCCAGCCCTGCCTCAATTAGGGGCCTTAAGCACCTGCAGCTGGGTGCCTGATGAGGCAGTCTGGGAGTTGTAGTCTCTAGCCCGGCGGCCATTTTGGGTTGTGGGCACTGATCCTGGGTGAGGATGTAGCGCCCCTCCACAACCTGTCCCCTTGTGATGCCACAATATACATATATATATAATTTTGGTACATCTATATTCAAGAAGTCTAGTAGTAGTAACGTCTCTGTGTAGTAAACAACTGACAAATCAAATAAAGAAAGTACACATCAATTATACTCTCATTTTTCAAATTGAACTGGATGGATTATAAATAATACATAGAAATACATGAATACATGTTCTTCTCATTTCAAGTAAAATAATGGCTGGATTAAAAAATTAATTACATAACAAAATTCATTTTAGAAAAATTATTTTAACTGAATTGCCCTGCAGCTTTAAATTCAGTTCATTCAGGGTGAAGTGAAAAAGCCACAACATTATATTTTTCTCATCTTCTAAAAAGAGAAAGTAGTGTGAGAAGAATTCACTTATATGAGTCTGTCCAGTAAGAGTCTAATGACTCTGGTCTCTCT